TTCCCTATGCTGGCAGCAAAATGGGACACAGGTATCACTCATTTTTTCCTTTACTGATGTCTGTGAAAGTGGCACAGAGATCATTTTCATTTACAGATCTTCCTTGATTTACAATGAGGTTACATCTTGATAAGCCTATCATAAATTGAAAATATCCTGTTACAAATGTATTTAATACGCCTAATCTACCTAACACCATAGCTGAGCCTAGCCTACCTTAAACGTGCTCAAAACACTTACATTAGCCTACAGTCAGGCAAAATCATCTCACACAAAGCCTATTTTATAATAAAGTGTCGAATAGCTCATGTAATTTATTGAATGCTGTATTGAACATGAAAAACAGAATGTTTGTTTGGGTGCAGAATGGTTGTAAGTCTATCAGTTGTTTACCCTCCTGATCCTTCCAGCTGACTGGAAGCTGCCGCTGCCCAGCATCATAAGAGTATGTTACAAAATATCGCTAACCTAGGAAAAGATCAAAATTCGAAGTGTGGTTTCTATTGAATGTGTATCGCTTTTGAACCATTGTAAAGTCAAAAAATCACAAGTTGGGCACTGTCTGTAATGAGTTTTGCTGCTATCCAGGAAAGGGTAACAATCTTGGTTGGGGGGGGTGTAGCAGAATGGCAGACATGTAAAGTGGTTGCTCTTGGTCTGCGTTCATCGGTAAGTCATCTAGAATACTGCTTACAACTCCTTCCAGGAATCCCCCTTTTCAATCTCTTCTAACCTTACTGTTTTATTTCTTTTCTTTCTTACCTTCCTTCCTTCGTTGCTTCCTTCCTTCTTTACTTTAAACAATTCTCTAATGATTCTAGTGCTTGAATAGGATATAAAATCTGGCTGCCTTCCTTGCTTGGCACTTTTCCTTCACTTGAGAAATCAAAGCAGTAGTCCCGTCTTCAGAGAAGGGCAGAGGGCACCTGCAACTGGGTTTTCTTGTCCTTGTACAGACTCAGTTTTAAAGTTGAGTTGTTTTAATATGCACACCGAGCCCTGCAACTTGTTACTAACAGTTAAGGTATCTTCTTACTTAAATGATAGTTAAGCTTATTATATGTCAAAGAATATCACCCTCCTTAACTGATCTCCAAAGCAACATCCATTGGGTTTGCTTTTCAACTCACTTTTTAAGCCAGTGTTTTAAGTGTATTAAGGTGTCCAGATTTGTTTCATATTTCACAAAACGAACACGGTGTTGGCCAGCTACTTAAAAGTGGTTTCATTCATTCATAGCATTCCTTAGTAGAACAGCAGTACAGTTGTTTTGCATCTGGGCTCCGTCTTGGGGACTAACTCTATTTGACAATCGTCCTTATTCGGATCTAGGGTGGATACTCCTTAGCACACCACCCATGCATGCCTCAGTCATAATCAGTCTTGGGCATGGCTGAAAAGACTGTTAATAAATATTTTGTAATCAATAGGAAATTTTACTTTCGAAATCCAGCCACAACATGGTGTAGACGTTAGGAGCATGTCTGGGTTCAAATCCTACTTTGACCTTGGGGAAAACCATTAAACCCCTCTGTACCTCTGTGTTGTTATCTTTAAGAAGGAGATAATACTGGCACCCACTTCATAGAGTTATTGTGGGGATTAAGTGAATGAATAATTATGTCATCACTAATAACAGTGGCACAATAATTGCTAAACATTAGTTATTATTCAGTAGGCCTAGAGTGTGGCGCACATATTTGGTGTCTGGTAATCATCCTAGCCAGGTTTGGCAACTACTGATCAGGCATGAAATTAGTGAAGGGTCCACCATCCTATCTGATTATCAGGTTTTATTTCCAAAGTGGTTTAAACTTTCTCTCTGTTAAAGACCCAATTTGGAGTTTTTTCTGATTATACTCTTGGCAAAATTTCAGCACCTTACAAACTGCTTTCTTGAAAATAAATAAGCTATATTTCATCATAATGCTCTGACTGCTGTTAAGACAGACCACATCTGTGTCTATTACATTATATATAACATACATATATTTTACATATATTATAAATGCACACACAAACACCACTATATTTCTAGAGCCATGGGGGATGCCTGGCATATATTAGGCACCAAATATATTTACATTTTATAAATGAATCCTAAAGAAGCAAAATATCTTGGGTGGCTGCTTAGAATGCTTGTGGAATAGAGACCTTCATTCTCACATATTCCACAGTTATACAGTTGTGGAGCCTGAGGTATTATAAACATCCATTAATTGCAGATTAAACATGTTTTACATGCTGATGCTGGTTTCCTCAAGAATTGCCTCAGATCTGCTTTTCTATGACCCCCTTGCTTGTTATTTGGAGCCTTCCTCTCCCCCATCCTACCCCCCCTAAATTTTCTGTAATTCATTGGGGGTTTCATATATAGGATTGTCCCAAGCACTTTGGAATTCCACCATTGCTACCGGGTGTCCAGTAAGCCATTGGCAACTCAGGGCTTCCATTTTCTCTTTCTTGTAACAGGTTTCAGGGACTCAGTATAAATTTCTTTCTTCTTGATCTCCTCATTAATGTTAGACCAGACTGATGGTGAAAAGTCGGTAGTAATGTGAGACATATCACTTTAATTTTCATACTGCAATATTATTTTATGAACGAAATAGCTTAAAATGATAAATCCCTTATGAAATGCTGAGGTTTTAATAAGCATGTATTGCTGGAAAATAATTTTTAATATTCTTTAGTCAATCTGAATTTTAAAAATCTTTAAAGCATACCAAAGCAGTGCCTCTCCAACTTTAATGTGCACATGAATCACTGGAGCTTTTGCTGAAATGTACATTCCGATTCATTAATCTGGGGTGGTGCCAAGATTCTATATTTCAGGTAAAGCCCCAGGTGATGTTGATGCTGCTGATCTGATAACTACAGTTCACGTAGTGAGGTACTAAACTGTATATGTGATACAAAGGTACCATATGGATATAATATAATGTAAAATGGGCATATTTAGAACATTTTAATTTAAAATATGAAATTAAGTAATAAACACCCTTAGTTGAATAGGTGTCCTTAATTCTTAAATATCAACCACCCCACCCCAAAGACAACTGAATGGATACAAAAATACTTACAAGAGGGTAACTGTAGAGCAGTGGCTGTCAGCTTTCGCTGCAACACTGAACAATCACCTGGGGAACTTTAACAAACTTTAACAAATACTGATATCAGTCCATCCAGATTCTGGTTTTATTGGCCTGGGGTGTCAATAAAGCTCTCCACTAGCTATTTCTAATGTGCAGCCAACATGGAAACCTTTGCCCTTCAGCTTTTACCCCAGCTTTCCCAGGTGATAAATGAGGATGACATTGCGTGTTGAAAACAAAATCGATAACAGTTCATTGAACAAACATTTCTGAAGCTCAGACTTTGTTAGATGGTGTGGAGACACAGAGTTATATAACCTCCTGCCACTGCCCTCAGGCATTCTGCAGTTTAGCTAAGGATGTGTGGAGAAAAGACTTCTGAGGTGGATGGGATAAACTCTGGTGCCCTGAGCTTTCCAGGGCCACCACACGACCTCTTACCAGCAGATCTCAACCTTGTCTACACATTAGAGAAGGAGCAATTAAAACACGGTCTCTGGGCTTCCCTGGTGGCGCAGTGGTTGAGAGTCCACCTTCCGATGCAGGGGACAAGGGTTCATGCCCCGGTCCGGGAAGATCCCACATGCCGCGGAGCGGCTGGGTCCGTGAGCCATGGCCGCTGAGCCTGCGCGTCCGGAGCCTGTGCTCCGCAGGGGGAGAGGCCACAGCAGTGAGAGGCCCGCGTACCGGAGGAAAAAAAAACAGGGTCTCTGGGAGTAAGGACCAGGCATTAGTATTTTAGAGTTCCCCAGATGTGTCCAGTGTGAAGACAACGCTGAGAACAACAGTCCTAAGACAGCTTCTGTCCCACAGGATTCTGAGAGTCTGCCAAAGGAACAGAAGCTCCACACTGTTCCCACTCCTCCCACTGAAGGGGAGTCATTTTTCTCCTTTCTTCTGCCCTTACTATTGCCTCCAATCCCTTCAGTTCCAATTACACTACCCTACATCCCTGGTTCTCTCTTTTCTCATATGAACTTCCTACTCAATGCGAGTCATGTGCTTAGGCAGGAAATAGAATCAAGATACATCTCTAGAGGGCAGATTTTTTTTTTTTTTTTTCCTTGCGTTATGCGGGCCTCTCACTGTTGTGGCCTCTCCCATTTGCGGAGCACAGGCTCCGGACGCGCAGGCTCAGTGGCCATGGCTCACGGGCCCAGCCGCTCCGCGGCATGTGGGATCTTCCCGAAACGGGGCACGAACCCGCGTCTCCTGCATCGGCAGGCGGACTCTCAAGCACTGCGCCACCAGGGAAGCCCTAGAGGGCAGATTATTCGTCGATGGTAGGAAATACTAAAATGCAGGAGCAGAAGCTTCTTTTTCCACTCACTGACCCAGTACTGCTCTGCCCTCACTCTCTTTTGTAAAGCAGTGAGTTGACAGTAATGAACCCTACGTAGGGTCCAATCAGGTGTTTAGAAGGGCTTGAAGGTTTTTGTTGACACACAATAACACTTTGTTGTCTTAGTTACTTGAAAAAGAATACAAATATATGATTATTGTCACAGGGGTAAGATCTGTGATTCATTTAGCTCAGTGACCCCAACACACCTGCTATGGAAAGCATGACTCTACTCCTTGTACTAAACTTTGAACCCTTGGAAAACAGGGACAGACTTGTATTTTTTAGCATTAATATAGTGTTTTTACTACAGAGAGACTTTAGAAATATCTACTGAATGAATGAATGAAGTCAAATTTGATAGTTAGGAATGTGTCTACCCCTGCTGCCTCAAACAT